CCTGTCTGCAGGGAGATGGAAATTTGCCACTGATCCCTGGCGCTTTGTAATTATTTATTACATTATAACAGCTTCCCAGCCCCTACCCCAGCTGGCCTCCTGCTGCAAGGGATGGATGGAAAATAGGTCAGGGATAATGTTTGTCTTTCGGGGTGGGGGACAAAGCATTAGGGTGGGGGAAGGGAGGACTCAAAGGGTCTCTTCTTCTCGCTTGGGATTATGTTTATTCCCAGGGTCCTTTAACGACAGCACTTGGGCCCTGTGTGACAATCACTGAAACAGACAAAAAAAAACAAAACAAAACCAAGGAGTGCTTGTGGCACCTTAGAGACTAAGAGCTCTTACTAGTAGCATTAGGGTAGCACCTAGTGGCCCTGACTGAGACTGGGGCCACACTGTGCTGGGTGCTGTGTGTGCATCTAGGAAGAGACCGACCCTGCCCCAGAGAGCTCACTATCGAAATAAACCAGCCAGACACAGAGTGTGTGTGCGCGTGTGGGGGAAACTGAGGCACAGAGAAGAAACACGACTTACCCAAAGTCACTCAGCAGATCAGAGCCTGGCCTAGAGCCCAGATGTCCTGACTCTCCATCTCACGTCACAGCTACAAACTGACATCTATCATCTGTCGTGGCCCCAGCTGGGATCAGAGACAGTGCAACTACAGCGACTGTTCCCTGGGCACCTCCAGGGAGGCTGGAAGCACCAGGAATTGCCCACCAGGGCCCATTCTCTTGATGTTCACTCCCATGCGTGGAGGTGCTTAGAAGTGAGTAGCGGGCGGGCGTGGCGCAGCAAGGTCTAGATAGCCAGAGCAGAGCTGGAGCAATCGGCTCTGGGGATGGCCGGCCTGAGCACCCCATTGCCATAGACAGAGCTGAATCCCCAGAGTCTGTCAGGACCTAGGCAGCAGAGAAATCTGTGTTAAGGGGCCAGCCCACATGGGTCACATAGTGGAGGAAAGTGGAGAAGGATTTCAGTGGGCCTGATTCTCCTTTGCCCTGCTCCCTGGGCCCAATCCTCCATGGCCCTGCTTCTTGGGCCTGATCCTCCATGGCCCTCCTTCCTGGACCTGATCTTCCATGGCTCTGAGCCTTGTGCTCGATCCTCCATTGCCCTGCTCCCTGGGCCCGATCCTCCATGGCCCTGATCCTTGTGCTCGATCCTCCCTGGCCTGACTGGCACCTTGCACCATCATTTACAGCAGCACAAACCAAAACTGTCGCATTTCACATCCACTTTGCCCTGATGTAAGAGCCACACGCTGACTCGTGGCCAGGGAGTTTGCGGGGCTGTCTCATAGCAGCAGCCAGCTGCCGTGCACAGACTGGGCTGTAATTAAGTCCCTTGTTTGCTGCTGCAGACTGAATGCCTGGCTCGAATCCCTGCTCTTCTCTGGAACTGGGCCTCCCTGCCTTCAAATGGCAGAGACAATTCTGTGTGCAGAGGCTTTATTTGGAGTGGCCTGCACCAGCCTGAGCTCAGGAATGTGGTCCCTGTTCCTCGCCATCCCAGGAGATCTGGTTTGTGCAGAGCAAAATCCAGACCCAGGCTGAGGTGGGAAAGAATCCAGCATGGAAACAACCGGGCTTGCTATTTATTGTGTGTATTTTTAGATCTGGCCACTGCAGACTTGCTACTCGAACTAGACACATTTAGCCTGCAAAGGCTTTTTTAACTGGGAGGGGAATTAACCTCTGGAGCAGCTCACCATGGGTTCATGGATTCCCCATCACCTGGAGTCATTGCATGCTTTTCCAAAAGATACGCTCTAGCTTACCCACCAAATATGGGCTGGATGCAGGAATCACTGGGCGAGGTTCTCTGGCCTGGGGTTATGCAAGAGGTCAGACTAGATCTCAGTGGTCCCTTCCGGCCAGAGCTCTAGGAATAATCCCTAGAGAATCACTGATTTGGCAGAATTCTCCTCTTTCTCAGCTTGCAAATTATTTGTGATCAGTCCCTGATTTCCCACAATTCATTGGTTGTTCCCTGAAGGCTCCCACATCACTCATGCTTGGTTCATTGCTCTTTCAGCACAGCGGTTACAAATGTTCCATCCCCAAAGTGCCGGCTATGTCGGTTTCATTTTGACTGGACACTCAGGTCACGTGATATCATTTCCAATATCCAATTTCCAGCACTCATATGGGACACTAATTAAGTGTGTGTCATGTATATACCCCCATCTTCTGGGCCACATAAGAGGATAACAACCTACCATTGGTGCTAGTTGATGGAGTTGCTCCATTCGCTCAAGAGTTAGAGGCTCCGGCACTCTTTATGATAAAGGCCACGGGGTCAGTTCTCTGCAATGACTCAAGGTGGAGTAGGGTCAGCTGTTGCTCAGTGAACAGTTCAGAACTGGCTCTCTGCAAATGCTCACTGATGGTTGCTTAAAAACTGCTGGAATATTGATGGGATGGGAGCACCGCTGGGCACTGACATAGCCAGCTCCAGTGAGCTCAGCCCATATTCCCAAGGACTCAGCACCTGCATCCAGAGCTAGATTGTCAGGAGAGTCATGCACCCAACATGGCGAGTGCTTGGGAAAATCAGACCCCAATGGTCTTTGGCCTGGGCCATGCAGGAGGTCAGACTAGAGGCTGCTAATGGTCCTTTCTGGCCTTAAAATCTATGAATCACAGGGCAGGATGTGTGTCTGTTAAATTAGAGGGAACTGTGTTTTCCTCCCCAGGCATGCAGATCCCCATGGGATCCATCTGGTGGGTCTGATTGAAGGAGCAGGGTCATGTTCAGTCCTGCCCAAAGTCTGTTCCAGTCAAACCCATCGGTTGTTCCATTGCCAGCATCCCAGTGCCTTGGATTTTTCCATTTGTGCCTATGTTCTTTAGAAACCAACATCTTTACCTCCGAGGTGACTGTATCCATCCAGGCCCTGGCACAAGCCACCAGGCAGCTCCCTGCAGTGGGACATCAGCCCAGAGCAGCAAGTGACATAGGTATCACAACAAAGCCACAACCCTTCCTTTGGGGGAGTGAGGGGGCAGCTCGGGGAGAGGTAGGGCACAAGGAAAGCAGGGCAAAGAAACTTTACCTGCTGCCAGATTTAGAGAGTAATTTTGCTTGCTAATTAATTAACTGGCACACGGCACTTCCCCACTGATGGAAAAACAGCCCCTGAGACCAGAGCTGCCCTGGAAAGGTTCCTCTGCTCACCCAGATCTCGCTCATGCCCCGCTAGCAGAGCTGAGCTGGGAGCATTGCAATATCCTGCCATTGCCCTGGGATGCAGAGGAGAGATGCAGTGGCAGAGGATGCTCTGAGTATCACAGTGCCCTGTGGTATCATGCTCAGCAGGACATGCTACTGCTATCACCAAAAAATAGCCAGGTGCTCAAATCATGCCTCCAGCAGCCCCAGTGTGCAAGGAGTCTGTGGTCTGGCCACGCCCACATGCCAACAGGCCACACCCCTTTGGAAATGTGATGCATGGTAGCTGGGGCTCTCTTAGACTGAGCAGGGGTGCTGGGTGGGTATTCAGCCCTGTTCTTGAGTGGGTGTGTGGGAATGCCGGTGCCCTGTCTCTCCTAAAATACCTGCTAGCCTAGCTATAGATTCAAACTGAACCCACTGCTGAACTGCAGCCACCTCTGGGACAGAGCGTGGCAGCAGTTCAGCAGCCACATGGCACCCCTGCAGCAGGGTAGGGCCTGAGGGAGAATTCTGCATGCAGCTGAACCTGGAAGGAGGGGGTTAGTCTGACTTGTCCAGAGACCAGGGCTAATGTCTGTTCTCCAGCCACAGATACCATGGGATCAGTAATGACAAGTGGTCCCAGGCCGTGCTTTCCCTTTTATTTGAGAGGCAGCAAGCACCTCACCAGTGCAACCTAATGAGCCCCCCACACCCCTCCCTGCAGTGCAGCACCCCCAGCTGAGCCCCCCACACCTTTCCCTGAAACACAGCTCATCACACGCTGCAGCTGGCAAATTGGAGCCATCAGTCATCACGGAGCAGAAGAGATCTTCACCTCTGAAGCCATCAGCTTCCTGCAACACCTGAGTTTTCCTTGCAGGTCTCCCAGCCTGGTCCTAGCCAGCTTTGACCCAGCTTTGCTTTGGAGAGTCAGTGAGCTCCTGGCCCAAGCAGGGCACAACAGATACCTGACGGGAGAATCCTAAGGGCCAATCTTCCCTAGCAGCCCAGGATGTTCCCAGCATGTGCCAATTCTGGGGTTCCCATGGGGCTGGCCCTGCAGGCGCCGACTCTTGTCTGAAGCCACAGAAGAGCCCAGATGGAGCGAGCAGGCAGAGAACACGGCCCCTCTTTAGTGGAAGGCTGAGAGCAGGCTCAGCTCGCGATTCCAGGGCTGGCAAGGCAGAACGAAATCCTGCTCTGTGCCCTTTGTTCTTGAGTGGGTGTATGGGATTGTACAGAGGCGTTTCCTCTGGTACAATGACATCTAGTGGCAGGGCCAGGCAGTGGCTAACATTCGAGGAAGAAGGGATTTGGAGTGAAAACTGGAACTGGTTGACTTTATTTTTTTGGTCCGAACAAAGCCAGATTCTGAAAGTTTTCTGTAGCCTACAGCAGTTGGGTAGCGTCTCTTTACAGAGGCCAGGAATTCTCTAGTGAGCAGCCTGCCTGGCTGCTACTGCAGAAACCACTAAAACCTAACAGAGCAGCAGTGTATCCATACGCTAGGCCTTGTGGATTTATATACAGCTCGTAAAAACACGGTTATTTGGAAGCCAGCTATGTTCATGTCGTCTGGATTCTTAGTATCGTGTAAAGAGCAAAGACACAGCATTTGCAATGGACTTTCCCCTCCCCTCCGCCCCACCTCCAATTTTTCATTTTTTGTTCCACTTTCAGTTTCTGGGCTGATTTATTTTTTTTTGTTTTTTCATCAGCACATTGCGCTATTTGGTCTACTCACCTGGGAGGAGGTTTCCACCCTGCTCCACTCAAACAACATTGGATTCTGCAAATAGAAAGTGTTCCTGGAGTGAAAAGCACCGACTCGGGGAACAACAACCACAACCAAGAATTTTATTTTTAAAAGTCTGTCGAAAATTTGAAAGAGGCCAAATTGGTTCAGGTCAGTTCCAAAACCAAGAGGAGGAAAATGCATTCATGATTTTTGAAATGTCCACAAATGGCGGTGTAAAAACACAGCCCAAAAAGACAGCCCCTGCCCCAAAGTGTTTACAAGCTAATGGTATGGAGGCCTGTCCAAATACTCACAGATATTTAGGTGCCTAATCCCATTGGTCTCAATGGAGGGTAGGCACCTAAACACCTGTGCCTTTGTCAGCAGCCTTTTAATAATCCTTTTGGTGGACAAACTGCTGCTGGAGTAGAATCCTTCCTTTGTTACTGATAATTTGTATAAAAGCCTCAATCCAGATCAGACCACCAGTGTGCGAGGATCTGTATGCACACAGAACCAAAAGGCAGTCCCTGCCCTGTGATGTGTCACAGTGCAGTGGCCGTATCATCAGAATTAAAGCTCGGATCTGCTTCTTCTTCCTTCTTCCTTTATGCCCCTTTCCCTGATGGGGGTCGTGGCGGCAGCATGGAGAGGAGGGAGGCCCAAACCCCCTTTTCTTCCGCAGCATGTTCCAGCTCCTCTTGGGGAAGATTCACCAGCATTCCCAGGCCAGCCGGGAGATATAATCCCTCAGCGTGTCCTGGGTTGGCCTTGGGGCCTCCGCCCAGAGGGACATGCCGGGTAGAGTTCCAACAGAAGCCTCCTAGATCCGGTGCCCGAACCACCTCATCTGGTTCCTCTTGATCTGGAGGAGTAGCGGGTCTATTCCAAGGCCCGCCCGAGTAGCCGAACTCCTCGCCCTATCTCGGAGAGTAAGCCAAGCCACCCGGCGGAGAAACCTCATTTCCGCCGCTTATACCAGCAATCTCATCCTTTCAGTCATTACCCAAAGTTCATGGCCATAGGTGAGGATGGGGACGCAGAGTGACCTGTAAACCGAGAGCTTCACCCGAGACCTCAGCTCCCGTGTCACCACCACGGATCAGTACAGCGCCCGCGTTGCCGCCACCGCCCCAATCTGCCAATGGATCTCACGCTCACGCTTGTCATCACTCGTGAACAAGACCCCTAGATACTTGAACTCTTCCACTAAGGGCAGCTGCTCCCTGCTCACCTGGAGAGAGCAGTCTACTGTCTTCCAGGAGGGGACCATGATGACCTCTGATTTGGGGGTGCTGATTCTCATCCCAGCTGCTTTCACACTCAGCAGTGAGACATTCGAGTGCATGTTGGAGATTGCAGTTTGAACAAGCAAGAAGGGGGTGGAGTCAAGTCAGGCCACCTATGTAACCTGGCTGGGCCCAGCCCGAAAAGGAGACGGGAACCCATCTTGCAGGCTCACTACCCGCGAGGTGAAAGGTGGGGGGTCGGGTGCGATGGCAGAATGGCAGCGGGAGGGACAGACTGGCCCTCCGCAATGGAAACAAATGCAGGGATCATTAGTAAAATATTGCCGGGGGGAGGGGAGGGATTTGGACAAATGTATGCCACATTTTTCCTGCATGTGAAAAAAACCCACTAAGATTTGTGACATTTTTTCATAGTTTTTCTCTGAAAACTTCCCTCCAAAATTGTTTTGTTAGTTTCCATCACAAACCTATTTTGTTTGATACGTTGTCATGCCGATGCCTTTCTGGACGAGACACTTTAGCCAAACACAGTTTATAAACTCAGTTTATAGGGCTCTAACCCAGGGGAATCTGGGTGAAATATAATGGCCTGTGATATACAGAAGGTCAGACCAGATGGTCTAATGGCCTCTTCTGGCCTTAACACTCAGTGGCTGTATGGATTATTTCTAATTGTCTCCAAATACATTTATGATTGGCCACTTTGCAACACGTGGCGTTTTCTAAAAAAAGTGGGACTGCTCCAGAAATGGAGGGCGTGTCTGGAGAAATCACAGTTTTGGATCATGCATGTTATTGACTTTGGGCAGAAGCAGGAATTTATCCTAGCATGCTGCACAGGGCAAATTATATCCTACGTTGTGCAATAGCTGGTCTAACATTATCCCCACCATACTAGATATTCATGAACAAAGTGGTTAGCCAGTACATATGCAGGGGAACCCAGATCTGATGGTTAAATACACGGACAGCATCGTGAACAATGATTACTGTCCTTCACCCAGACGGACCCAGAGAGTCGCCATTTTTGGATGGTTTTTTCCCACTTGGCACACACAGAACGGATCTGTTCCCGCAGTGACTCCATTGCTGGATGCTGAGGAAGTGGAATTTGGAAGCTTTTTCCAGGGCGTCTTTCTGTCTCATCCCCTTTCTAATCGCTCTTCCAGGCATGGAGTGTTAAAAGCCAGGCTCCCAGAACTGAGGACTGGAGTGCCTGATGTGAGATCTCTGCCACCTCCCTGCTCTCTCGCAAGCACTCTCAGCATCAGATGCTACCACAGTTCAGTGCCACGTATCTCTCTTGCTCAGGTTAAAAGCTCCACTCTGTGGTGTTATTGGGAACTCTGCCCTCAGCCATGCAGGCCCCAAGTAAGACATATAAGCATGGGCTTATGTGGTTTGCAGAATAGGGAGCTGAGAAGTTCCTCTTTTTTTCTCTGGCCATTTTACCAGGAAGATGTTAATTTCTCACTGGTTTGAGGTGCATCCATTTTTGGGTACCCTCCATGGCACTGGTTTCCATGGGTGTAGCATCACTGGAATTCAGACCCTGGGTATCTCAAACTGGAGGCGCCCAAAACTAGGGACCATTTTTGACAAAATGAGTCCCATTGCAATGAGAGACCTGTTCCCTAAACACACGTCTCTGAGGCATGGTCTGCTCCTTTGCCTCACGCTGACCCTGGCTCTTGAAATCCAGCATCCCCTTGATTTAAGTCCCTTTCATGGAGGAGAGGTCCATCAATGGCTATTAGCCAGGTTGGTATCCCTAGCCTCCGTTTGCCAGAAGCTGGGAATGAGCAACAGGGGATGGATCACTTGACGATTACCTGTTCTGTTCATTCCCCCGGGGCACCTGGCACTGGACACTGTCGGAAGGCAGGATACTGGGCTAGATGGACCTTTGGTCTGACCCAGTAGGGCCGTTCTTATGTTATGTTCTTTGTTTTTCAGTACACAGACCAAAAGTCCAGATCCTCAGCTGGGGCAAACAGCTCTGTTGAAGTCAGTGGACTCTAGGCTGGGAACTGGCAGAGCTGGCTTCTATTCCTGGCCTTGGGTGAATTGTTTCCCCACCTGTCCTTTCTCTTGTCTATTGTGAGCTCTTGTGGGACTGCCTGTCACTCGGTGTGTCTGTGTGTAGCACCATGGGTACCTGAGCTCAGGAGTGGTCCTCCAGCACTGCTGTAATATAGCAGATAATGGTGCAACTCTGATTTACACCAGTTGAGGATCTGGCCCAAAGCCTTGGAAGGCAGAGGGGAGACGGCATGTCCATTTCAAAACCTTTTTTATTAAAAGAAAGCAAGAGAGACAGCAAGCTCGGGAGCTTTGGGGGTGCTCGTGTGTCTGAGTGCGGGGGAGGGCAGGGCACTGGGGACGTTCTATAGGTCACCCGACATCATGCTGCCCGTAGCTGGTCCTGGTCTTTGCTGCAATTCTCCCTCATTTTCTTTTTATCCATCTACCCTTCCCGTCCATGAGTTTAATCTTTGCATAAATCCCTCAACCTACTGAGTTACCCATCCCAAAGCCATGTTGACCACAGAGCTTGTCCTCATGGGTCCTTCTCCAGCTCATCTACCTACGTATTCAACTCCTTGACATTGCCCATCTATCTCTCCAGCTATGCAGATACACCAGTGCATAGCCCCCTTCCATCCACCCCACGGTCTGTGCACCCAGTCCCTCGCTCCTCTGTACATTTATCGAGCTGCTCCACACTCTTCTGCTTGCATAGTCGTCTTTCTGCAAGGCCGTTCTTCCAACGCTTCATACCATGCACTCCTCTTCTGTTGTCCCGTTCACTCGTCCATCTTGTTCTTTGCTCCATCCTTCCATCCCACCCGTTTGCTCCAAAATGACACACCATCCCATGCGTCTATACAATTGATGTCACTGCTATAAAAACCCTCCTCCTGCTCCTTCACGGAGCGGGCCTCGTTCATTTATCTGTACAGCTATAAAATAGACATATGTGTATAAAGATCTGATTTATTACCTGCATATTCACCCCTCGCACACCACTCCGTCACATCTGCAGAGTCTCTACCACTATCCATTTTACCCTGTTTTATAGACCCAAATAACCGGGTACATCTGCCATCCATTTATCTCCCCATTCACTCTTTTCTCTTCCTCCTTTGCCAGCTATCACTCTTTCCTCCGTTGATCCCTCCTTCCCAAACACCTGTCGCTTCATGAGTCTCCTTCCTCTCATCCTTCTACCATCCCCCAATCTTCCATTCTGCACCCGAACACTTTGTCCTTGGCTGGCTCCGTCTCCCCACCGCTGAACCATCCCACTACACCTTGGACTCACTCTCCGAGTTGGCCAGGCTGCCGTTCCTCTCCTTATCCCCTGCTTCTTTCTCTGTCCCTTCCTCCACCTTCTCGTCCAGCCGGCTGGGGATGGACCAGTAGAGGTGGGCGTCCATGCGGGCCGTGGCCTCGGCCAGTTCCTTGGCGCTGCAGCTGGGCGTGGGCACCTCAAAGGTCTGGTGAAAGCTGTTGTAGTCCACCTCGTAGAAGCCATCCTCCAAGCTCAGCACTGACATGAAGCGATGTCCCCACAGCACCTCGTCCATCAGGTAGGAGCTCCGGGCCTGGCAGGTCATCCCTAGGGAAACAAGCGCAGCACTCATAAGGCAATAAGGCCTAGTCGGGAGGGCACTTGCCTAGGATACAGGAAACCAGGCTTCTATTCCCAGTTCTGAGCTGCTGGACAGCCTTGGGCAAGGCACTTCCCCTCTCTGTGCCTCAATTTCTCCTACTAACCAGTGTCCATTTAGACTGTAAGAGTACGTCTACACTGCAACTAGACACCCAGGATTGGCCCATGCCAGCCGGCTCTGGCTGCAGGGCTGTTTCATTGCAGTGTAAACATTCAGGCCCTAGGACAGTGCGAACATCTACACTGCAATGAAACAGCCCCACAGCCTGAGCCCAAGTAAGGGCTCCTGTTGATCATTAGCTTTCCTTAGGGCTACAGCGATCCATAAACCCCCTACAATTATAATGGCTAGTGACAGAAAGCAAAGCTGAGGACAAACTAATAATTATTCAGTGCATTGCAACAGAACGGGCTAAAGCGAAGCATCTCCACGAACCCAGCACATAGCACATGGGCACAAAGGTCTGGGTCTCCATCCGCCTGCAACTGGTGGTAGACAGACAGGTTCCTAGAGCTGCCTGCTCCTTTACTGAGTCTACTAAGCTTTTGACCACAGTGATATCATGTAGCAGTGAGTTCCACAGGCTAATTGTGCGCTGCATGGAAAAACATCACCAGTTTCAGTTCTATTCCCTGGGAGTTGCATTGAGTGACATAGGGGGCCAGCAGAGGTCAGGGCATTCTTGGAGAACACCTGCTGTCTGCTGGACCAAGAGACAAGGAGGAGACAATCCTGGGGCAAACATTGGCCAGGAGGTGGGAAGTGCCCCCATTGCTGTTTACAACTGGTTTAGTTAGCACATGTTGAGTGGCACTCAGTGAACTCTGGCTTTGTCTTCACAGCAGGAAAGGGTGAGTTTTCCCATTGCTGTAGCTTTCTTGCTGGGAAATCAGGCAGGAGTCAAGACTCTGGAGTTTTTGCCATCGCTGAAGGAGGTCACACCTGGCTGGGGGAGCCTATAATGTTGACCCTACCTAGCTATACTGAAGTAAAAGCTACAGAGCCTTGTCTCCACTAGGGTTTCACAGTGAGAGAGCTAATTACGTACGTCAATATGTTCGTTATCTCGCTGAAAGAACACGCCAGTTTTGGCAGTGAAGACATGGAGTTGATCTGGAATAGTTCATCAATTTTAAATTCGCACTCAACCTTATTCTGGGTTAATTTTCATGGGCAGACTGTAACATGATCAGTGGACTGGGAATCAGAGGGCCCATGTTCCTTGAAGGGGCTGTTATTGAGGGGACTCTAGGGGAACAGGGCACTGGCGGAGTTTGGCTGAAAGCAACTCAGCCACATGGATACAGCAGTATATAGGATTTAATACATTTCCACGTGTTCACATGAGCCTGCATCCAGCTTCAGTCATTGCTAATGAAACACAGATAAATTCTCAGGCCTGGGTTACCCAGTTTTTGTCTTGGTATAAAGATGTTGGTTGGTTGGGGGGTGGTGATTTTTTTACCCCTATACTTATGCTGGTACAACACCGTTAGGCTGTGGCTACATTGGGAGCGCCGTATGTTACACACACAACTCGCTTCTGGTGTGGAAAGAAAAGGAGGACTTGTGGCACCTTGGAGACTAACCCATTTATTTGAGCATAAGCTTTCGTGAGCTACAGCTCACCAATGTAGTGAGCTGTAGCTCACGAAAGCTTATGCTCAAATAAGTTTGTTAGTCTCTAAGTGCCACAAGTCCTCCTTTTCTTTTTGCGAATACAGACTAACACGGCTGCTACTCTGAAACCTTCCGGTGTGGAGGTAACTGTATCCCCAAGAGCAAGCTACAGCTGTAAAAGTTCAGTTTTGCTGGTCTAGCGGCTGCAGACTTCTGCCAGCACAGCTTTGCCGGTTAGGGATCCAGTGCTGGCAGAAGTCTGTGGTGGAGCGGTCTGATTGCTCACAGCTCCAGTATGAAACTGGAGAAAAGCCTGTTGAGAGTCTTTGGATTACGTTTAGAGGAGAGAGCGACAAGGGTGATGTCATGGTGGGCGTCTGCTACAGACCACCGGACCAGGGGGATGAGGTAGACGGGGCTTTCTTTGGACAACTAACAGAAGTTTCCAGATCACAGGCTCTGGTTCTCATGGGGGACTTCAATCATCCTGACATCTGCTGGGAGAGCAATACAGCGGTGCACAGACAATCCAGGAAGTTTTTGGGAAGTGTAGGGGACAATTTCCTGGTGCAAGTGCTGGAGGAACCAACTAGCGCCTCTTGACCTGCTGCTCACAAACCGGGAAGAATTGGTAGGGGAAGGAGAAGTGGGTGGCAACCTGGGCAGCAGTGACCATGAGATGGTCAAGTTCAGGATCCTGACAAAAGGAAGAAAGGAGAGCAGCAGAATACGGACCCTGGACTTCAGAAAAGCAGACTTTGACTCCCTCAGGGAACTGGTGGGCAGGATCCCCTGGGAGCCTAATATGAGGGGGAAAGGAGTGCAGGAGAGCTGGCTGTATTTTAAAGAATCCTTATTGAGGGCACAGGAACAAACCATCCCAATGTGCAGAAAGAATAAAAAATATGGCAGGCGACCAGCTTGGCTTAACAGAGAAATCTTCGGTGAGCTTAAACTCAAAAAGGAAGCTTACAAGAAGTGGAAACTTGGGCAGATGACTAGGGAGGAGTATAAAAATATTGCTCGAGCCTGCAGGGGTGTAATCAGGAAGGCCAGGGCACAACTGGAGTTGCAGTTAGCAAGGGATGTGAAGGGTAACAAGAAGGGTTTCTCCAGGTATGTTAGCAACAAGAAGGAGGTAAGGGAAAGTGTGGGACCCTTACTGAAAGGGGGAGGCAACCTAGTGACAGATTATGTGGAAAAGCTGAAGTACTCAATGCTTTTTTTGCATCTGTCTTCACAGACAAGGTCAGCTCCCAGACTGCTACACTGGGCATCCCAGTATGGGGAGGAGGTGAGCAGCCCTCAGTAGTGAAAGAACAGGTTAAGGACTATTTAGAGAAGCTGGACATGCACAAGTCCATGGGTCCAGTTCTAATGCATCCAAGGGTGCTGAGGGAGTTGGCGGATGTGATTGCAGAGCCATTGGCCATTATCTTTGAAAACTTGTTGCGATCGGGGGAGGTCCCGGATGATTGGAAAAAGGCAAATATAGTGCCCATCTTTAAAACAGGGAAGAAGGAGAATCCAGGGAACTACAGACCGGTCAGCCTCACCTCAGTCCCTGGAAAAATCATGGAGCAGGTCCTCAAGGAATCCATTTTGAAGCACTTGGAGGAGAGGAAAGTGATCAGGAACAAGCAACATAGATTTACCAAGGGCAAGTCATGCCTGACGAACCTGATTGCCTTCTATGATGAGATAACTGGCCCTGTGGATATGGGGAAAGTGGTGGATGTGATATACCTTGACTTTAGCAAAGCTTTTGGTATGGTCTCCCACAGTATTCTTGCCAGCAAGTTAAAAAAGTATGGATTGGATGAATGAATTATAAGGTGGATAGAGAGCTGGCTAGATCATCAGGCTCAATGGGTAGTGATTAACAGCTTGATGTCTAGCTGGCAGCTGGTATCAAGCGGAGTGCCCCAGGGGTCTGTCCTGGTGCCGGTTTTGTTCAACATCTTCATTAATGATCCAGATGATAGGAAGCATTACACCCTCAGCAAGTTCATGGATGACACTAAGCTTGGGGGAGAGCTAGATACGCTGGAGGGTAGGGATAGGGTCCAGAGTGACCTATTGGAGGATGGGGCCAAAAGAAATCTGACGAGGTTCAACAAGGACAAGTGAAGAGTGCTGCACTTATGATGGAAGAATCCCAGGCACCGCTACAGGCTGGGGACCGAATGACTCGGCAGCAGTTCTGCAGAAAAGGACCTGGGGATTAAAGTGGACGAGAAGCTGGATATGAGTCAGCAGTGGGCCCCATTGCCAAGAAGGCTAGTGGCATATTGAGCTGTATTAGTAGAAGCATTGCCAGTAGATAGAGGGAAATGATTATTCCCCTCTATTCGGCACTGGTGAGTCCACATCTGGAGTATTGTGTCTAGTTTTGGGCCCCCCATTACAGAAAGGATGTGGACAAATTGGAAAGAGTCCAACGGAAGGCAACAAAAATGATTAGGGGGCTGGGGCACATGGCTTACAAGGAGAGGCTGAGGGAACTGGTCTTATTTAGTCTCCAGAAGAGAAGAGTGAGGGGGGATTTGATAGCAGCCTTCAACTACCTAAAGCGGGTTCCAAAGAGGACGGAGCTTGGCTGTTCTCAGCAATGGCAGATGACAGAATGAGGAGTAATGGTCTCAAGTTGCAGTGGGGGAGGTCTAGGTTGGATATTAGGAAAAACTATTTCACGAGGAGGGTGATGAAGCACTGGAACGGGTTACCTAGGGAGGTGGTGGAATCTCCATCCTTAGAGGTTTAAGGCCCGGTTTGACAAAGCCCTGGCTGGGATGATTTGGTTGGTGTTGGTCCTGCTTTGAGCAGGGGGTTGGACTAGATGACCTCCTGAGGTCTCTTCCAACCCTAATCTTCTATGATTCTATGACCTGGACTTAGAGTGGTATAAAGGTGCTTTATGATCTAAAGATGAAAAGTGCTATATAAAAGCTAGGTATTAATTATTTTACCAGCATAGCATTTTCACCTTCTCGTGTGGGAATAGTTTCACCAGGATAAGCACATTTATATCAATATAATGTGCCCACCATCAGAGGATTGGGCTCCTATCTGCATTTTAGGCACCTAAATACCTTTAAAAGTCCAATCCCTAGATACAGCAATGATGTAGGTAGGATAAGAAGTAGGACAGAATAGAATAGAGTAGAATAGAATAGAACCCAAACTGCGAGGCCCTGCTGTGTTTCAGCTCAACTCCCATAGCAGGACTTAGGCTGCCTGGTTCTAGGACTCACCACAAACATCTGTGTCCTGGAATGAGCACTCGAGGAGAGTCCAGACCAGCCTGTGCAAATGTGTTAATTAT